CAATACTAGATAAAATTGTATACAAGCTCTCACAATGAAGCTTTCGAACGGAAGTACACAAGATCATAGTTTTTAGTCGCGGCCTAAAACCGAGTCCACATCAATAATTGGGCGGCTTATAATGCGGAATCGTTGGAAACGTTCCATAGTGCTTGGCAATGTCATACATCCGGTTTGCTTTTCGTCGAGTGCATTAATAATCGTAATTAAGGTGAAGCGTCCGAAACATCCGAAATAGCCACTTTTATTTCGAATCGAGACCAGATATTCGCTGAATAAACAAAGACTCGGAGACCGATTTGAATAATTCGGGGGGTTTTAATGATTCCGGGATAAGGATTCCACTCCCTTGGGAAGCGACAAACGGCATGTCCGTATTAAGTAAATCTGGTCGTTATGTCGCAGCTTAAGGGTCTCGCCTAATTATGCAGGTTTAATGCTCAACCTTCGAGGCCGTCCACATTTAATATCATTAACGGCGTCACTCGAAATTAACAACCCGAAAAACGAACAATAATAATCGCATCGAAACTTGTTAATTGAATACAATAATTCCAGTGTTATTGGGATTTATGACGCACCTCAAACGGGGGTAGATTCCGTTGTAGATAATATTCCAATTGTGGCACTTGGAAATCGACGCATTTGCATAAAAAGATGTCTTTTATCGTTTCAAGAACTTGGAAAATTATTATGATGATGATAAAAAATACCATAAATCGGTGATAGGCGTATTATGTCGAAAAAAAGCGAGCTATGAAGAAAACATCTTCGATTTTACGAGCCATGAAAATGTAAAAATTAATCTAAAAAGCGAATTTCGCCAAAAGCACAATGTCGCTAGTTAAACAACTTTGCAAAATTGGAAAACGGGCGCTTTTGATGAGCTTTCGAATGATTACACTCGGAATGTATCTTTTATTGCTACTACTCGGTGTCGTAAATGTCGGATAACACGGCAAATCTTTAACTATGTAATGTAGTACTTACATTCGCGAACTATTATTGAAAATGATCAGACAAACGAAACGGTTCGATTGTAATAGAAGAAAATAGGATATGGAATTTCTCCTGACTCGTTATCTCTCCCAAGTGTGATTCCTATTCATTTTCAAATTGCATGACATTTGTTCGTTTTATGTAGCGATATGTAGTAATTAACTATCACTAAAGGAAAAATGATAACGTTAATTTATTGCACCACGTTTACTGTTAATTCACATCATTATTATCCTATTTAAACAGACACTGCTCATGCAGGTACTGATAATTTTGCAATTTTTCAATTTACTATGTGCCACTTTTTTTTCTACACGCAATGATAAATTAACCTTCAAATAATGCAATTTTTGATGTAAAGTTTTCCCATTCGACGGAATTAATAAGCATTTGTGAACGCGAAAAATAAATTAGTCGATTATCGGTAGAGAAAAGCTTGTTCAGAAGTTTATTTAATGCGAGTTTACTGCGGATCATTAAGCTTTTAGCGATAGGGGCATTCGCAGGTAGAAATACGCTTTTTAATCTAGTTTATAATCAATTTTTCATCATTGCCCTGTATTGTTAAATTCTGAATAACCGGCCATTGTGTTTTGAGCGTGAAACAGGAAACGTAATACTGCACAAAAACGAGTAACAAAGGCATACAAACTTTCTTTTAGTTCGTTTTACGACTAATCAATTAAAAGTCTAATCACAAACCGGAAAAAGTGACTCCGGTGATATTTATTTATTAATTCAAATCGATACATATTCGAAGCGGAGACGAAAAAATAAGCTACGTTCTTTCTAAACAAGTCACGCGTGCTGACACAGCCTTGTCATTTTGCTGCAATTTTCCTGTAAAACATAACCGTATAAATTGTACTCCTTGCCGGATCGGTAACGGGTCAGCAAAACTCCGGTTTAGTCCCCCTAGTGTCTGGTCAGCGATGATTTCGTGTCCTGCATTCGAAATTTTTCGAGGATACACAAACATGATACATGAGGGATTAACTTAGGCTGCAACGTCACTCACCGAACCCCAATTTTAAAAATTTCATTATTCAGTGACAGCAAAAATACAAACTTTTTATTTGCTTGCACCATCAATTGCAACGATACGGGCATCAGAAAATCTTTGTGCAACTTTTGCAGCATTAGATGCAAACGAACCGGAGAAATAGCAGCGATAACATAAAGAAAAATGTGCTATCCGTTCAGTGCAACTCAATTACAAAAGTTTTTATTTATTCACGTCGTACGTCGTATGGTTTCGTAATAACAACAGGAAAGCAATTCAATTCTTGCAGGAAAAATAACAATGCACAAGTTATACGCAATAAATACAAACTATTCGACCAAAAATAAAAAGTCGGGAGAATTATGGACGTCTAGTGGCCAAATTTCAAACGTGCAAAGAATTATAATTGAACTAAATTGTAAAAATTCTGTTGTAAGAATGCGCATTTATTCGAATTTAAGAAATATAACTCGTCTTGATTTAAAAGATTTGAAATTCCTGTGTGTGACACACGCATTCCAGCTCCCTCAGGAGAGCTTCCGGTTTGTAACATTGTCAAAGCATGCCTGGAACATTCCGGGTGGGTAGCCCGCGGGCCCAGCAGCACCTTCCTTTATGCGACCAAAGCATACACATAAAGATATTGCTACGCGTTATCAACACAGTGTCTCAGAAAGGCCAAAGAAAAGTGCGCCCTCGCAACACCACCAGAATTAGATTAATTAAAGCGGAGGCACGAAACGCTAAGAAAAACTCAAGTGTGTTCGATAGTTTGAAAAATGACAAAACTGATCGTTTTGACACACAACGAGTCACTGGGGAAAGTTCGACAGGTGACCATCAACTCACATCGTCAATCACTATGTCAAAGAGTGGGATGGGGTTTGTAACATATTTGAGGAGATGAGAGGATTTAGAGATTTGCCATAGTCGACGTTATTGTTTTCGACTTTAAGTCGAACGGTTGAGATAGCACCTGAAACTCGGAGCAATTCCCGGAGGCGGCGGATCTCGCAGGGTTCTAATGTAAGCACGCGGCACTAGAATGCGCTGTTTAGATCCGGAAGCCGCCGACGCCGTATCTGTGAAGGGAATGTACCGGATGCAATGGCACGACGCGGACATTCATATTCAACACTTTTAAGGCATGTCTGCACATCGCTTCGCGCCGATAAAAGGCCATTCAATTTCGTTAAACTTGAAATTTGTATAAAATATACGTTCTTATATCACGACGCTTACAACGGAGAATAAAATATTCCATCCGCATAACTGTTTTCACACTCAAATTTAAAAAAAAAATAACCATGGTAGACGCCTTTACTAGATAAAGGGATCAGAGCAAAAACTTAGCAACTCCTATTTGTAATTCTAGGTGTGTGGTGCATAATCTCGCAAGTTTTGTCAAGTAACGCAAAACTTTGTTTTTCTCTTAGTAACAAGCAAAGTGTAATAACAGTAAAGCCAAAGTGGATTAAAGTAATTTAAAATTGACAATAGACGTGTAATGAATGCCGCTTGAAATATGCTTTTATGTTGGAATTACATTAACATGAACTTACATGTAGAACACTCGAAAGATCTTGAGGGAGGGTTTTAAATGAATTTAAATTGTATCTGGTGTATCTAAGGTATAAGAGCCAACTCTCATCCCTTAACAACGCGGTGGTGGCGTTTATTCAAAGGGAGGGAGTTATAGCAACTGCGCGTCAAGAAATTAGCAAAGGAATTAAAATTAATGGCTCCCTTGCTACTTCTGTTCAACGTCTAGCATTTCATGTAGGCGACAAACAAACCGACTCTCCGAGGATCGACTTTGAATTACTCCAAAACTGGATTGCATTGTGTTCCGACTCGCACCTTGTGCACATTAATATTATTTACTCAAATGTAGGTACATTTCTGACAGATGGAATTTAACGTGTGCGTGCAGGTTATAAATTGCTTACGGACCCTCTGACAGCTTTATTTCTTGATTGCTAACGAAATCTCCGAACAAATTCTAACCGACCATTGCCGAGACGTGAGACACACGACCAAAGACCGCTTTATGCAAACCGGAGCCGTAAACGCCACTCCGAAATAAAAAGATCGACCAGCCGACAATATTTGTCCACCACGTGAATCAAGTTTCATCCGCATCCCCAAAAACACCAATTTAGGTGTTGGATGGGACTGGTTCATGGGTTTCCTTTGTTTTTGCTTAAAGTTAGTGCCGTCTCAAGTCGGTTCTTGCTTGTTTGCGATTATTACATTATTAAAGGGTTGTTGAGAGTCCAAGAATCGCAGCCCCGGTTACATCTCCATGACGACGCATCTAACGGAGACCGTCGGCTGCTTCCGGGGAGAACGTCCAAGAATATTCCGTTGATGATTTAATGTTTTGTTTAAAACGCATCATAGTATTGATTATTCAAAACGTTCCCCGGATTGGTTCTGACGGAAATGTCTATTAATCCCTGACTCGGTTCCGGTTTGACCATGACACGAACCAGTACCGTATTTAATACCGAGTAATCTCTGGAGTTGAATTGCTGTCGGTAGACTCTAAGACATTGAATAATACAAGGAGGATTAGGATCAATTTGAAATAATTCCACCGTCTTGTAGACTTTTTAGTGGTATGTGGATGAATAATTTCTAATTCTTCTTGTTTTGAGAAATGCAATTAAAGATGCAATTACGGCGAGCGTTATGAACAACGGTGCCGGAGGCGATGATGCATGCGGGTTTTGCAGTTATGTCCGGACTTCCCGCGATGACGACGGAGTTAACCGGCCATTACTGCGCTGAAACTATTATAATTACAACCGGTGACAAACAGTCCGACTAGACGAAGATCTGTCTGTGACACATCACCGGACATGGCTCCCCATGCAGCTATTATTAAATTTATTATACACTATAGAAACTCATCGTCGAAACGAAAACTCGTTAAGGAATACAATGTAGCATGGGGATGATTTCGGCGAAAATACAAAAATAAGGGACTCCTCACCTGTGTGTGTTCTTTGGTGCGCCTTGAGGTGTGAGCTCTTGGTATAGACCTTCTTGCAGCCGAGAAATTGGCACTTGTGTATCCTTCGTTTGGAGTCGGGCGAATGGTCTAGTCGATGTTTGACCGTCGTCGTGGAAGCAGGTGAAGAAACGGGACTCTGTGTGGTTCTCGGGACGACCGATATGTACCTTGCAAGTCCTCTAACCCGCACAATGGCATTCCTCGATACACTGCCCACCCGAAGTCCGCAAACGTCCAATTCGCTCGCACTAGAACTTCCATTACTATGGCCTGGTCCCGATTCGGGACTCGAAGGTGGTGTCAAAGTCGCCGGATTCCTTGCTACTAGTCGCAATTGTAACGCATCACCGGCGTCAGCATGCACTCGTCCTTCGTAACCGTCGTCTTCGTCCTCTTCATCGTCGAGGGGCTCCTGCTTCACGAGTACGGCACACGATAGAGCCCCTTCGTCCCAAGAACACGGCGAACTTGCCGAACTGAACGCGTCCAAGTGACGATCACTATAGTCCTCTATACAATTCACTCCGTATAACGTCCTTTCCATGTCCGATGGCAACTTTTTAAACGACTGCATCTTCGGCTCGTCCTTCAAGTAGCGCTCCATCTCGTAGCACGTCTGCAACAAAACGCACAATTGATCGATACAAATTGACCACATTGACGCGGAGACAGTCAGTCTGACTGTCTCAATTCTTGAGCAAAGCACCGATGCTTTTCAATTAGAAAAAGCGCAGCAAGTATGGGCAAAATGCCATTTGGCCATACTCTTGCGTCACCACCGTGCTTTATGGTCGCCGCATCTATCTCATCGGATGATGTTACAACCCGAGACAAGGTCTCTCCTATCAGTAGTTGACCCAAATCGGGCCAAGTCAACAAGGAAAAGTGGGCGAAGTGAGGGCTCCGCGCCGATTGTTAATGACCTAATATCCGGCTCAGAGACGTCTCCAATTGTCTTATCGCTGTCGCCCCCGTAATTCGACTTAGTCTTTGAGATTTTCGACAAGAGCGTCATTAAGACATACAAGCTCGAATTTAATACATCCGCCTCGAATTCGCTCCCTAAATTAATTTTAATGCTCATTAATTACAAAACAGGCAATGTTTTGCGCCGTCAACCCGCCACAATAACGACAGCGAGGTCTCAAAACTCCCCACTGGATATAGCAAAAATTCAAGGTCTTAATTAGCAAAGCACTAAGTATGTTTCCCGTGAGCGCGCTTAAAAACGTTATTAAGCTCTCTACATTTCCGTTTATGGTAATGTACTCCTAATTATGTAATGGTAGTGTAAACCAATAAGCTCAAGTCCCAATAAAGGATTAAATAAACTTGACGGGGGTAGGAAGCGTGCCTTATCAGGCGACGCAATTTCAGAACCTTGGAGAAGACTTGAATTTTATGCGATCACCCGAAAAGACGTAATTTTCTAACAACGAAAAAGCCAAACATGTTGGTCTAGCTGTGTTTAGAGTAATAAAGAGGCGAAAATGTGGCTTTTAGAAGTACTTGGCACGCACCTTATGTTAGTTTGTCGATTATTGTTTATTTCTCTCCGTTTTCTTCGTGGGGAAGCGATAAACCCACTATACTCACTGAATCCCGGTTAAAATAAAACTGCTCGTCGTTGCGGAAAAAGGATTACGATTAATCGGAGGATTTTATAGCGTTGTGAGCACGTATACAAATCATTTCACTTAATTTATCAGCTCCCTGTTCAAATGGACCGATCGTTGCGAAAATTGCATTCTTTCACACTTTCAAATAAATGACACGACCAAGGACCAAATTGGCGTTTCGTGAAGAGACGATGATGTAACTTTGCTAATAAACATCCTACTAAAATAGATATGACAGGAATGGAATGCTAACAGCTCTAAAGTTGGACCAAACTAGCAAATGGATGAAAGTATTGTAATGCAGGTAATTGATTGTGGGAGCAGACTACGGAAATATCAAACATGCTCTTGTCATTCCGAGTGAAGAGCTTTATGTATAAGCGGAGGGATTGATTGGGTGACTAACACAATAATAGAGTCTGTGCATGCCATGATAACATTGTTGTCAAAACTACAACAGTGTAAAGGAGCACCTGCCCCACGTTCGCGTCGGCATAATGAACGCAGATTAGGCGGGTCTATTTGCCTCCTCAAAAACTAAGTTGTAGAAAAAACGCCAAGTATGGGATCTGAAAAACCACTGACCCACACAAACGGTCAAGTCGAGTAATCGTTCCGTACATTCGGCAACAATGCGGTCATCAGTTCGCCAACCGGTGATCGGAAGTTCAGAGACGGCTTGACAAACTCAATAGACCTGTCCCAACAAAAGCGGTATTCATTGTTTGTCGATTCCTGACCAACAACTTTTAATTCGACGTTCCACAAATAAAACTTGGGAAACATTTCAGACATCTCGTTTAATAAAAACATCTCGCTTCCTCTCTTCGATGCGATGATGGTGTTTGAGTTTCGATGCAAAGAACTTGAAGTAATTCCGATAATGCGATTATACTTTTGTTATTGTTAAGACAGGCATATTTTAATTAAAACTCCGACTTGTTTTGCAAAGCTCAGACCATTTGCATAGCGGTTCCCTTTGAATATTCCATAAATACCCAACTTTAATCACCTTTCGGTCGAGGGACCAAAAATTCAATGAATAAAGAATCGCCCAGTCAACGCCACAAAACACTTAGAAAACAATCATAAACCCTTAGCCCACAGAAACAACACAGTTTAGTATTCAGTTTTCCAAAACCTTACAACGCCAAAACTACAAGTTTCTTTATTTTGTGGTAATTACAATTGTTTTTGATAAAAAAGTCAAAGAGTTAATTACGCCAGAGAGCTGGATGTTTGGAGGGTCGATATGGTGAATTTCGGCGGAGATGCAAAACACGCACCGCTGCGATGTCTTAGACGTGGTGACGACGTCTGTATTCATATCTCGTTTTCCATCCGTCAAGTCTCATACAGGCCATATTTCAACTATTTTTCATTAGATCAGACCTCATTTTGTATGCATTGTGGGACCACTTGTACTTTATTAGAAGGGAAGATAAATTAAAATGGCTGTGGTGTGTCTGGCATGTGATGTGTATAAATAAATGCAGTTACTTAGAGCGACTACCGTTAACGTTGCTGACATTGCTAGACAACGAAAAGGAACAAGTTTTTCCCCCATTAAATTAAGTTTCCTTCACTAGCCGCCATACATTACACCAAAGAGAAAAGAAGAATTGAAATCTCATTAAGGGCAATGCGTCACCGCTATGATGCACCGGTTTAATTCTTCCCCAAGGCGCAGTTTACCCCGTCTTTCCCTATTACAATTATGTTAGTTCTGACCATTCTTACATACAAATTCAGGAGCAAAAAAACATGTGGAGAGACGTGGAGGAAAATATAGGAGAGTTGGCTCGCAACCGATTCGGATCAGATAAAACTTGCATAATGACATTCGAAAACCAATAAAATACCGCAGTAGCAGTTGCGCAAATCTACTTTATTATCAATCCATACAATGCCGAGTTCGGGGTGAGAGAATTATAACTTTCAACAATGTAATATTACAGACCTATTGTATCTGTCGAGGCGAATTGCTTAGTTTTAGGCGAAAATAAGAGGCTTTCAGAAAACTGTCCAACTTTCGAGTAATTGAATTATAAGAATTGTTATCAAGCAACGTTTTAATTGCGTTTCAACTTCACTTTCAATTAGACTCTTACGTATAGCAGGTCCGCTTCACTCCGAGATAATATAAACACGGGAGTGGAATTAAAAAGGTCCTCACTTCTCGCTCACTGCACGGAAAATTTTTATTACGGGTCGAGTTTATCGAGGAAAAAATCGCGTCTCCAAACTAGCAATGAAACAATTTTAATTACGTCGAAATTTTCTGTCAACAATCCAAAACTTGTTTGCCGTTTGATGTGTTTGCGATCTGCAAAACAATTGCTTCACAGGAAGCGCTGTTTGTATACGATTCGACAAAGTCTACAAGATAGAATCTGCCCTCAGATATGTTCGCTATAGTGAAATTGGATGCATTATGTTTGATGTCAATACCACAATGCACCCAGAAAAGTACTTGACTCTCGTGTTTGTGTTTCTCAACTTTTGCTTTTGTTGAAACCTTTGAGAGATGCGAAACAAACCTTGCATTCCCCAATTTGCATTCAGCTTTAATTCATTTTCAATGTTCAAACTTGCTTCAAAACTGATGATTTGGTAGCAAAAACACGACGTGTTTGCAAATAATAGGCCTTTCTTTGGGCTCAATGCATATAAAGAACGCATTAGGTGAGGGTCTCACCTTAGTTCGGGTATTAGGGGCTGCACGACTCCCACAGGAACCAGACGAGCGAATCGGGAGAAATACGACCCTACAGGGAATTCGTCTACGGTGCAATACTTTGAAACGTACGAGCATCCCGTTTCATGCAAATATTAACTGACGTATACTTTGCAGCATTAACAAAGCATTTTTTTTTATTTTTATTCAAAAATTCTTTTTTTTTAATGCCTTCAGTTTAGACAGTTAATAGATAGAATATCAGAGAAAGTAAAATAATTAAATATTCCAAATAAAAACTTGTTTACTCATTTTTTTTATTTTTTGACAAGAAATTTATATAGATGTTATGATATTCCAAAGAGACGTAATTTCAGTTTCAGCAAATGCTTCAAAAACACATTTTTTTTAGAATAGCATGGGCGTGAAGTTTTTGAATAGTAGTTGTAGAAAAAAGTTTGAGGTAAAATATGAAAATTTTGTCCCCACGAGTGGAATATGAAACGAGGGAATGAATTTTAAAGACGGTTGGAAAAAGAAAGGGAAGAGTATGTTTCGGTTAGTGGAAGACACAATATTTACGATACTCAGTGGGAGGAATATTTTAAGAGAACGTTTCAGTGCATATAATGTTTTCCCTGGATACACATTGATGGTTGCAGGCCGTCTCTCGGTACGGTTGGTGGAAGAGTTTGTAGGAAAAGGCCATAAATAGCGACAGGAAATTTAACGGATTCCGGTTTAAAGTGAAAAAAGTGAATTACGAGTAGGAACAAACAGAAACAAGAACACTTCACAGTACCGAACGGCGTCCTTTCCGGAGCTCGAATAAAATATAAAGTTAATTAACGAGCAAAGCGAGTAATATCTGAATATAAATTACAACATTAGCTGCTTCTAAAGGCATCGATAAATATTCATATATCGTTTCGGTGAAGTTGGGGACTGAAACTCTAGCTCGATTACGAAACCAAATTGTAAAAATGACATTATAAAGCACTTAACATTTTAAATAGTCGGGAAGAAGTTGATTGGGGGATGACGAGGAGGAGCGAGTTCATTGGGATTCCGGTGGTGGAGTTTAGAGTAAGTACATTCATGGAGAGATCAAGGGGAAGCATTTAATTCTGGATGTAACACGTCGGTGATACTGGAGGTTTTGATAAAGTCCTCGTGCACGTCCGTCAGAAGAGAAGATATAAGCCCCTTGGAAAAATAATAACTTTTCCAGTTACTCGTGGGATTTGCGAAAGTGTGCGCTGCCGGCGCAAGGACGTGACATGGGAGCTACAATGCGTCCACGCCGACACCAGAAAACTT